AGCCTTGAACTCCAAAGTTGAAGAGCTTGCTGCTGTGGGGGAGAAACACGCCCAGCTAAAAGAGAAGTACAGGAAAACTATTGAGCATAATAGAATCTTTAGTTCAACTGTCTGAGACATATATGTTAGCCTCAATTCTACTAGGTCCGCCCGGGAAAACCTTTCTACCGAGGTAATCCAACTGAAAGAAGAACTCAAGTGTCGATCGACTTCCCTTATTGTGAAAAACACTTACACCATATACAGTATGAGGAGAAAAACCTTTGAAGAGGCCAAAGCTCATGCTATTGATTTTGATGCCGAAATAGCTAAGGCGCGCGAGCCTGAGTTAGCAGCTAAAAGTGGACTTCCATCGAGGTCTCATGTACCTGGACCTTTTGGTTCTAGTTTCGAGATTTCAGGAACTGAAGAAGAATCGGAAGATGATGATGCTAAAGGACAAACCGATGAAACTGTTGAGCCATCGGTGGGTTCGTCTACTTCTTTCGGGGGCGCGAACACTTCTCTTCCTCCTGGTTCTAGAGACAATGCAGTTTTGGCTTTTCTTTTCTTTCATAGTTCTTGTATCTATGCCATTTTTTCATGATTTTGTAAATAAAAACATCATTTGCATAAGTATTGTCTGAGCCTTCTCATCGTTAGAATATGCAAGCCTTTAATCTTTGGATTTTCTTTAAGAATTTTCCGCAGATTTGTTTGCGTCTTACTATGTGAAACCTTTGGGTGTATTCAAAGCATTTTTTGCTCCGAGCATCATCCCTTTTCCGTGAGGGCTTTGATATGTATTTGCACAAATTTACGTTTTGCGTCCTTTTCATATGCGGCTTCGGGTTTATTTTCCCCGAAGGCATTTTTCATTACGGGTATAAATTCTTCTGGAACCAACCCTTTAACGTGAGGGTTTTTATAAGAGAAGGTCCTCTTATGTTTACGGTTCTCTTGAAGAGGACGTCTCATATTCATTATGGTTATAAAATTTGAAGTACTTGTTTAACTTTCAAATGACAAAGTTAATTCATCATTCAGATAAGAAAAAAGATAAAAACAAAAGGATTTCATTTTATTTCTTCCATTTTCTAAAGATACTTAAGCATTTGCTATGCTGAAAAGAAATTGCCATTACTTGTGGATAACTTGTATAACTTGTTTCTACGGGGCTGACTGTGCAGTCCCCGATCCCGATGATGCATTTTATTTTTGGATTTTTGTTTCATAGTTGATGTGGTAGTCAATGTTGCCGTATCTTCAAATGATTCCNACTAATTTCTAGATAATCCTTAACTCAGAAACATATCTTACTTCCCCTTACGAATCCATGCTATCTAGCAAAATACTATCTAACAATCTTCGAGTGGTTTGTGCTCGTGACTGGTCGGGTAACCTTTGTTCGGTAGCAAACTAAACTTCCTAGTGGGAATTTTCTATCGAACCAAAGATTATCTAACCGTCCTAGAGTGGAAGCTTGTTTTTTTTCCTTGCTATCAAAGTTCTTATTGCTACTGTCTTCGTAGTATGCTTTCTATCGCTGCCTCATTAAAAACCTTGCCAGAATAACCCAATTGAGACAAAAACTAATCGAAGTAAAAAAGAGTGCAGCACATACCTTTTGCTTGAATAATGTTTATTGATGTGCCGTAGAATTTCGGCACATTTGATACCAATTATATAGACTTTAGCTCATCTTTCAATTCATTTTTAGTTAATTCTTATGAAGTTTTGGTGTTTTGCAGTGCATAAGGCTTGAGGATCCAAAAACATGGAAAAGAAGTCAAAAAGCCACAAAAGGGCAGAATGACGCAAGTATGCGGTCGCATAAAGCATATGCGGACCGCATACCCATCGCAGACTGAAGCAGAATATTGGTTAACTAAAGAGAAAAAGATGCGACCCATTATGCGGTCGCATAACAATTATGCGGACCGCATAGTGATCACATAATTGAAATCAAGAAAGATGAGAAGCACTTATGCGGAGGAATATGCGGTCGCATAATGTATATGCGGACCACATAATTGGAATGCGGTCAAGAGTTGGGTTGGATACATGAGATTATACGGCGATTTCGAATAATATGCGGACCGCATACGTGATCTGCGACCAGTATGCGGTCGCATAAACTTTCTGCAGGGTTATTTTTGTCCAATTTTGGCTCCAACTTTTAGCCCACTATAAATAGATTTATTAGGGTTTTTGTGGGGCAACTAAGTCAGAACAAGAGAATAATTTTAGAGCATTTAATGCACCATTGTTTTGGAGACTTTTGAAGATAGAATCTTGTATCTTTGTAAGCTTTGTGACTCTATTTATCGCTTTGTTCTTAGATTTTAGTATGAGTAGCTAGTTTTAATTACTAAGGTTGTGGACCCTAGATAGGTGTAATGTTAAGGGGTGTTTACCATTGAATATATATATAATGGTTGGTTGATATTTATTCAGTTCTTATGCTTCATGTGATGTTAGTGGTTGCAAACATTAACTATTTTCATTTCTCTATCTTCACTTGGAAAAGTAGGCTAGGGTTTGGTAGAATTGGATACCAAAAACTCAAGGCTTTAACCCTTGTTTAATGGAATCGCCTAGGAATAAGTGGGTTCTATTTGGTATAAATTGGTTATTTTCAATCGCAACTCTTTTACATTTGGGAAAATCTTGAAGAGTAGATATTACTCAACTATTGAAAAATAGTGGGTAGCCACTTAGAAACCATTTGCATATCAAAGTACTTTCCCTTAGAAATATATCATATTAACACCAATAGCATTACATGACATCAATGGGGACACAACCTTGGTTTCCTTAATCAAATTAATCACAATCTCACAATATTCTACTTCTCTTCATTTCACTCAATTGCAACATTCTTTTCAACTAACAGAATAGAATTACAAATTAAGTCAAGTTTCACACTACTCAAGTAACCTTTTCACATATATTCCCTATGGGATTCGACCCCAACCTAGTTGGGTTACTATATTTGACATCGACCGCTTTACACTAATTATTAAGGTGTAATTTGAGCGTATCAAAATTTGGCGTCATTGCCGGGGAATACGGTTTTGAAATTACGATTTAGTGTGTGCTTTCCTTCACATTTTTATTCCATCACACTTTGCTTGCTTTGTTTGGTGTGCTAGATAAACATGGCAGAGTATGATGAAGAAGAAAATCCTTTTACGGATATAGATGAGTACATCGAGGACACAAATGCCATTGTCCCTCCGCGAGTTGACGCTGCTACCTTCAAGGTGGAACATGGTCTGATCCTAATGCTTAAAGCAGAGGGATTTTTTAGGAATTCTACCGATGATGATCCAACACAACATCTTAGAAACTTCTTGGGTGTGTGTGCGATGCACAAACAGAACAACGTGTCAGATGATGCCCTAAGACTGAGGGTATTCAAGTACTCACTACTTGGAGAGGCAAGGAAATGGATCCAAAATCTACCACCTCACTCCATTAACTCTTGTCCTGAACTAGTTCGTGCTTTCTTAGCAAAATGGTTCCCACAAAGCAAGAAATCCGAGCTCAGGGATAATATTTTCTTTATCAAGAAACTATCAGGAGAACACTTACATGAGGCATGGGATCCGTTCAAGCTATACCTAGTGAGGTCGCCTAATCATGGTTTTCCGGACAAAATCTTGTTAGAAAAGTTTTACATGGGTTTGGATCCGTTGAACCAATCCATAGCAAAGAATGTTGCGGATGGATCTTTAATGGATAAAACATTCACAAGGATCACACAAATTCTCGACAAGATGGCAGAACATAATCAAGCTTGACACTCGAAAGATACCACAGGTGGAATTGTATACGGTACTCCCTCTTTGACTAACCTGATTAAGGAGAATCAAGAGAGAGATCAAGTAATTGCCAGTCTTGCCACAAACATTAATATGTTAACCAAGATGTTCACTGAAAACCAAACTAAAAAGGTAAATGTTGTGGAAGGTGTGCAACCCTGGTCAACCGAAGATTGCGAGAAGGGAAATTATGTCCATAATTCTCAAGGTGGTTATCACCAACAAAATCAATGGAGGCCTAACCAGCAAGGGCAAGGCCATCAATAGTGGTGCAATGATGAAAGTGGATCAAGTCAAGGTAATTGGAGCAATAACAACAACTATGCAAACCAGAGTTCAAACCCATATGTTCCACCAAAGGGGCAATACTCTAACTCCTCGCATTATAAGGAAGGTTCTTCAAGTGAGTCCAAGTTGGAGAACATGCTTGAAAGAATATTGCAAAATCAAGAAAGAGGTGACACTACAATGAAAAACATGTCCGAACTTGTGGGGTCACACACCGTATGCCGAAGGGCACACTCCCAAGTGACACAATTGCAAACCCTAAAGGAAATGGGAGTGGTCCAACTTCTCATTGCTTGGCAATCACCACACCAAGCGGGAAGGTACTTCAAGGAGAAAACGAGCAAATTATTGGAGTAGATGATCTTGAGCAAGAGGTTGAAGCACAAGTTGAAGTCCCGATTGTTGTTGAAGTTGAAAAGCTCCCAAAAGGAGTAAAAGTCCAAGAAGAAAATCATGAAAAGGTAAAGAGGAAAGAGGCACCAATAGCGCTAGCACAAATTCCTAGACCTTCCCCTCCATTCCCTCAAAGACTTTCTAGGAGGGTTGATGATAGCAAATTCGGGAAATTTTATGACATTCTCCAGCAATTGTCAGTGAACATACCATTTGTGGAAGCCTTTCAAGAGATGCCGGGTTTTGGTAAATACTTAAAGGACTTGATAACCGATAAAAGAACCACCAAGAATGAAGTAGTTAATGTTACTCACCGGGTTAGCTCCATTATTGCAACAACCACCGTTGAAAAGAAAGAAGACCCGGGAGCATTCACCATTCCGTGCACTATTGGCCTGCGAGATTTTGCAAGGGCTCTTTTGTGACAACGGGGCTAGCATTAACTTGATGCCTCTTGCCATTTACAAGCAAGCGGGGTTAAGCATGACGCGACCTACAAGCATGAGATTGAAAATGGCCAATCGTTCAATCAAAAGACCAGTGGGAATTATTGATGATGTCTTAGTGAAAGTGGGAAAGTTCCTCCTTCCGGCTGATTTTATGATCCTTGACTGTGCCGTTGACAAAGAAATCCTATCATCTTTGGGAGGCCATTCCTTGCTACCGGAAGAGCACTTATGGATTCGGAACGAAATGAAATCAAGTTCCGAGTTAATGATGAAGAAGTCACCTTCCAAGCAAGTAAGGTATGAAGTTGCCACATGCATATGAAGGCATCTCAGTCATTGATGTTGTTTATGAGGTAGAGGACGCAAGTGAAGTGAAAATGGAAGAAGAATGCCTAGGTGAGGCTTTGGCGGCAATATTGGTAAATTTCGATGGTGAAAACATGGAGGGGTACATGGAATCAATGAATGCATTAAAAGGACGTGGGTCTTACACTTACGCACCAAAGAAGCTTTCTCTTGACTTACAGAATAGAGCCACTCCCCCAGCAAAGCCTTCAATTATTGAGCCGCCACAACTTGAACTCAAGCCACTCCCACCACACTTAAGGTATAAATTTCTTGGTTCTAACGATACTTGTCGGTAATCGTTTCTTCCTTGTTGAATGAGGTGCAGGTAGATAATTTATTGAATGTCCTACGGGAACATCAACAAGCCATTGGGTGGACAATAGCGGACATCCGAGGGATTCCCATCGGAATCTGTGAGTAAAAAATATAATTGGAACAAGGAAGCAAACCTAGTGTGGAGCACCAAAGACGATTAAACCCGTCCATGCAGGAGGTGGTGAAGAAGGAAATCATCAAGTAATTAGACGCTGGAGTAGTCTATCCCATTGCCGATAGTTCTTGGGTGAGCCCGGTGCAATGTGTGCCGAAGAAAGGAGGCATGACCGTTATCCAAAATGAGAAAAATGAACTCATCCCAACAAGGACTGTGACCGGATGGAGAGTTTGCATGGACTACCGGAAGCTCAATAGTGCCACTTGCAAAGACCATTTCCCTATGCCTTTTATTGATTAAATGCTTAATCTTCTAGCGGGAAGGTCATTTTATTGCTTTTTGGATGGATACTCCAGCTATAACCAAATCAACATTGCATTGGAAGATCAAGAGAAGACAACATTCACATGCCTATATGGGACTTTTGCTTTTATCCGGATGCCATTTGGGCTATGCAATGCTCCGGCTACCTTCCAACGGTGCATGATGTCAATTTTCTCGGACATGGTGGAAGATTTCCTAGAAGTGTTTATGGATGACTTCTCTATTGTGGGTGATTCCTTTGAGCATTGTCTTGACAACCTTAGACAAGTGCTCAAAAGATGTGAAGAAACAAACCTTGTACTAAATTGGGAAAAGTGACACTTCATGGTGGATGGGGGCATTGTTTTGGGCCACAAAATTTCCAAACAAGGCATAGAGGTTGACCGCGCAAAGATTGAAATCATCTCTAAGCTTCCTCCACCCATTTCAGTAAAGGGTGTCCGAAGTTTTTTGGGGCACGCCGGCTTCTATAGGCGTTTTATCAAGGACTTCTCAAAAATTGCAAACCCCATGTGCAAGCTCCTTGAAAAATATGCTACGTTCGTATTTGATGAAAAGTGTCTCAAAGCATTTGAGGAGTTAAAAGAAAAGCTCACCACGGCACCTATTATTGTCACTCTAGATTGGTCTCTTCCATTTGAACTCATGTGCGACGCTAGTGGTGTAGCCATTGGGGCGGTGCTTGGTCAAAGGCATAACAAAATCCTTCATCCTGTCTACTATGCAAGCAAGACTCTCAATGGTGCTCAGATGAATTATACTATGACCGAGCAAGAATTTCTTGCTATTGTCTATGCTTTTGAAAAATTTCGGACCTATTTGTTAGGATCCAAGGTGATAGTCTACACTGATCATGCTGCTCTTCGCTATCTTATGGCGAAGAGAGATACCAAGCCAAGATTGATTCGATGGGTCCTTTTGTTGTAAGAGTTTGACTTTGAAGTCAAGGATAGAAGAGGGACAGAAAACCAAGTCGCGGATCACTTATCTAGGCTTGAAGAAGCAGGGAGGCCAAAAGAGGACTTTGACATCAATGATGCTTTTCCATATGAGCACATATTGGCATTGTCTGACACATTTGCTCCTTGGTATGCCGATATTGCTAACTATCTGGTTAGCGACCTTGTCCCCGATGGATTGGAAACATATCAAAAGAAAAAGTTCTTGCGGGAGTGTAGGCAATACTATTGGGAGGAGCCCTTCATGTTTCGTATTTGTGCCAACAACATCATTCGGCGATGTGTTCCGGAAGATGAAGTAATGCCGATTCTCAAAGCATGCCATGACTCCCCGGTTGGGGATCATCATGGAGGAAATCGGACGGCCGCGAAAGTGCTTGAATGTAGCTATTATTGGCCATATATCTACCATAACGCGAATCAAATGGTCAAGGCTTGTGAGCAATATCAAAGGCAAGGATCGATATCTAAAAGGCATGAGATGCCTATGAAGTTTGTAATGGAGGTCGAGATCTTTGATATGTGGGGGATTGATTTCATGGGTCCCTTTGTGAGTTCTTATGGCATGAAATATATCTTGGTGGGAGTGGACTATGTCTCCAAGTGGGTTGAGGCAATCGCTTTACCCAACAATGAGGCAAGGAGTGTGACCACATTCTTAAGGAAGAACATTTTCACGCAGTTTGGTACTCCCCGAGCCATCCTTAGCGTCGGTGGTTCTCATTTCCGCAACAAGCTTTCACCGGGCTGCTCGAAAAGTATGGAGTAAAGCACAAGGTGGCCACGCCTTATCATCCTCAGTCGAGTAGTCAAGTTGAAGTTTCCAATAGAGAGATTAAAAACCTCCTAGCAAAAACTGTCAATGCAAACAGAACCGACTGGTCAAGGAAGTTAGAGGATGCATTGTGGGCATATCGCACCACATTTAAGACTCCCATTGGCACCTCACCGTATCGATTACTCTTTGGTAAGGCGTGTCATTTGCCCGTGGAGCTTGAACACAAAACCATGTGGGCTCTGAAAAGGTTAAATCTTGGCTGGGCTGAAGCTACTAATTTGAGAATGACACAACTCAACGAAATGGAAGAATTCCGTCTACATGCCTATGAATTAGAGTATAAGGAGCGAATGAAGTTTGTTCATGACAAGAAGATCTTGAAACAGGAATTCAAATCTGGTGAATTGGTCTTGCTCTTCAACTCGAGACTCAAGTTATTTCCGGGCAAACTTAAGTCCAAATGGTCTGGCCCATTCAAAATTGTGAATGTGTCCCCTTACGGTGCTATTGAATTAGAGTTGGAAGACGGACTTCGCACTTTCAAAGTAAATGGACAACGGGTTAAGCATTACATGGGCACAACAGAAGACAAGCACTTGATAGATCAAATTGCTCTCAAGGAGAGTCCGATCCCCACCACTGAGTAGCCCAAAAAGGGGACCAGCATCGTCGTGCCGCGACGTTAAATCAAGTGCTTCTTGGGAGGCAACCTATGTGTGGTAAAATTATTTTATTTTATTTTATTTTTCTTTTTTTTTAGTTGTCAGTGATTGAACAGGTTGACGTGTGTATTAGAGTGCAGGTAGCCCAATTTTCCACGAAACAGAGTGCAAAGACTAAAGCAAAAAATGGTGGATCAGGGGCTTTCGGCAACTATGCGGTCGCATAATGACTTTGCGAACTGCATAGTTGTCGCAAACACAGTCAGTGAATTTGGGGAACTTGGGTCTGAAAACTGCGGTAAGAGTTCAAGTTATGCGGTACGCATAGATGTTATGTGACCGCATAATGCATCACAGAATGGAGGTAAAGTAACTCAGCTCTAAACTCATCGCATAACACATATGCGACTGCATAATGTGTTATGCGACCACTTGCCCACCGCAAAACATCTAGGTATAAATCCCTAATCCTTCGCATACTGTAAACCCCACTCGCACACGAACAGTTAACAACTCTCACAAAATCAAAAACACAAAAACAAAAGAAACGAAAGAAAAGCCAAAAACATTTTAATCACGCACACAGATCACATATCAAGGATCGGAATTAAGGAATTTACCTTGCTCATAACTCAAATTTCACCTTCGTCTTGCTCCAATATCTGGTATGTGACTCTTTCACGGTTGTTTTTTTTTAATCTTTTTTTTTTCTTGTGGATTCATTGCATAATGTCCATCATTTGAACTCCATATCTCGTTTTCGTTCTCAAACATGTGCGGTGGGTACCTGTGTGGGCTATTGGTGGTTAAATTGTTTGCCTGCGAAGTGTAGGGAACAAAGTCGTCGCAAACAAGACCCTAAAAGGCCTACTGATTTGAACTTATGCGACCGCTTATGCGTTCACAAAAGGTGTTTTGCGGATCGCATAGCTACCACAGATACAACCAGTTAAACTACCTTTCGTCTGTGCAAATCTGCGATCCCTTTGAGATCGCAAAACTGGTTTTGTGGTGGTTTTTTGCGATCGCATAATCCCTTAAGTCTGGGGTATGAAATTCTGCGATAAGTTTGCGGTCCGCATAGTAGATATGCGACCGCATAACCCATCGCATAACTTGTTTATCTATATTATCTTTCCTCCACCTTTGTTTGCTATGACCACCACTCACGCACTATTTTAATGCAGGAATGGCACCAAGGAAATCTATTGCAGCACGATCACCACCTGCTTGTGGGGAGAAAAGAGCTGCTCCGAACCAACAAGCACAACAGTATAAGCATCAACGGTAGGAAACCAATGCAAAACTGCTGAGCACTCCTCCTAGTCTGAAGAATAGGGGGCACAGACGGACATCCTGCCATCAATTGACCTACAAGCTGAAGCAAGGCGGAAGAGCGGGGAGGATTCGAGGTTTGGGGTCCTAGGATCATGGAACCTACACAAAGAGGGGATAAAAAAGAGAAACATTCTCGAGGAGAAGCAGTTAAGCCTGAATGGTCTGAAAGAGAACTATCCTCACATAATTAAAATCATTCAGAAGAGGAAATGGGGATTCTTCACGGATGCCCTAGATGACTACAATGAAACAATTGTGAGGGAATTCTATGCCTCCTATGCTGCCTCAAGAAATGCTGAACAAAGACGGAATAGGATATTTTTGGACTCTGTTCTAGATCGAGGGGTTCAGGTTCTCTGTGACACAGGCACAATCAATGATCTACTCTTTAAGGACTGGTCATCAAGCATAGCTGAATATGATGCAAAAGTAACCAACAAAGATAACGAGCGTGCTTGGATAGCATATGTCATAGCAAAGGGAACCCCCTCCTGGATTGACCCGTGCTACAAGATTTACAAACGAGATTTCACCTAGGAAGCCCGATATTGGCTCAGCTTTGTTTTCTCCCGTCTGATGCTGACTAGAAATGGGATAGACATCAACATTGAAAAGGCCCTCATAATTGCATGCATCATGTCGGACATCAAGATTGATGTGGGACACATTATCTTCAAGGAGCTGGGAATCAGGGCAAACCAAATGCAAACTTCTCTTCCTTTCCCATGCTTGATCACGGCTCTTTGCAAAGCTGTAAGCGTTCCACCTATCCTAAAACATTATCGTATAGAGAAGGCTCTCCAGTGCATTGACATCACTTGGCTAAGTGATGCAGTAGGCAAGGAAATGGACATCCAGGTCGAGACCTCATTCCCCCATGCATCCGACTCACAAGCACCTGTACCTGCTCTTTCATCAATGCCTGACACTCCTGTTGCCCCTGCTGCTCCTGGTGATTCCTTAGCCACTCCTCAGGCTCAGTCAAGCAGTGCATAGCCACCTTTTTCCTTTCCAGCTATCTCAAAGCTGGGTCTACTAGCTTAGCATGCCAGCACCAAGGTAGACCGGCTGACAAAGGAACTACCAAAACTCATCAAGCAAGCATTGGGTCCCATTCAAGCATCAATCAGTGCACTTCAACAACAGCATAAATCATATGAAGATCGCCTTACGCACTTTGAAGTGCGACTTGAAAAGATCGAGCGAGGCGAGGTTGGAGATATGCCACAACTTAGGAAAGATGTTGCTAAGTTGAAAACAGAGCTGCACAAGCTGCAGAACTTAGAGTTCGATTTGACTTCTCTCCTTCCGGAGGGCGGTGAGCAGGGCATAAGCATCTCCATTCCGGGCCTAAATTTGGACTTCTCCAACCTCATGACAGACCCGGAGGCACAGGGTACGAAAACTTCAAAGACTCCAGCTGCCATTGTCCACATTGACACTCCTTCTGAGGAGGACTCCGGAGAGTCGGAAAGAGAATCAGATGACGGAGAAACTGAAGATGAGGAAACCGATAAGGAAGCATTGGCAATGGAAACTGAGGGTCAGTGGGACTATAAGGGTAAGCAGGTGGCGGCTTCTATAGAGGATGCTTCTACACAGGCTCAGGCTGCAGAGGAAGCAGACGTGCAAAAAGTAATTGCACATTCACTGGCTGACATGGTCGCAGGGCACATCCAGCTACCCCACAGGCATCATTGGGAGAGTCCAGCAGCTCCCAAACTCCTGTTTCAGCCACACTGCCGGTGGAGCTTCCTGCTCCAGCCTCAGCGACCACCACCACCACAGTTGCCCAGCATGCTCCAAATCCTTCGAGTGCCCAGGGCGCCCCAGGAAGCCCCTAAACTTAACTTTTCAATTTATATGCATTAGGGAACAATGCATGATCTTTAAGTTGGGGGTGGGGTAGATATTTTGTGTGATATTTTGTATAATAGTTGTATGAAATCCCTTTTCTTTAATAGCATAGACTGGTAGCTAGTAATAAACTCCCCTTGGTTTTTCTTCGCCAGGTTCTTTTCCAGGGGTGTAATAGAACCATGGAATGTTTTGACTTGTTTGGTGTGATTGTATAGTTTCAAGTATGTAAGGAAATTTTTGGTGAATAAATGGTACCCTTCCTTCTTTGACTTGTATGGTTAGTCATTCTGGTGAATTTGAGGCTCGCTCTTTGACTTTATGTTTACTCAGAATCTTGTGTATCATGTGATAAAAGCTGTGAGTTGCCTTGCATTCACTTGAGGGCTGAAACTATGTTGAGTCAAACAGTTCATGGGTCGTGAGTGAGTGAGGATTTGTGTAAATAATGCACATACTCAACTTGTGATGTCTAGAACTTGCCCGGTTGGTTTTTTTGTGCAAATCTCAGGCTATTGGTTGGGTGCTGAGATGATCTTAGGCTATCTTTGTGACTGCTAGCTAATTTTGACCAAATATTGACCTCCCCGGTACATAAATTACCCTAGTTACCCCCGTTGAGCCTTTAACATTTTCTTTGGCCACCACATTACAAACCTGTACCCCATGGTGAAATAATTCCTTCTTTTTTTTTTTGAACCTAACCCTCCTTGAACGAGTAAGAACGAGGCTAAAAGCCTAAGTTCGGGGTGCCGGTACAAAGTGAAGATTGAAAAGGTTGACACTGCATGTAGAATAAACAAATATGGTTCCTCAAAGTTGTATATATATGAAGAAACTCAAGCTCCGAAAAGAAATGCTTTTATATATAAAAATGAATAAATAAATAAATAAATAAATAAAGATAGAGAAAAGAGAGAAAAGAAAAGAGAAATGTGGAGTCTTGTAGAAATTGAATAAACACTTTGAGGTGATTCGTTATCGGTAACTCGAGGTCGATCAATGCTATGTAGTAAAGAAACAAAGTATATGTAGAGTTCAAGGAGGGTATAGCCATGATGCTCCCAGATATTTATCCAACATGTCCCGAAACCTACATTACAACCTGTGAAAAGTCCCAGGTGATCTTCAGCCAATCATTCCTGAGATAGGAACAAGTTAAAATAAGGGCAAGCATATGGACTGATACTTGTAACATGTAGCTTTCGTTCCGAGTGAAAGAGTGCTTGATTACATCCCCTGTAAATATGTGAGTCGGGGATTTTCTTTGTTATGAGCACGCATGAACTACAAGATTTAACAGAAGTCAGTTCCTTGAAGTAAAATACGAGAGCACTTAGTTGTGACTAACATTTTGTCAGTTTGGTTGAGGATCAAAGTTTATAAGTTGATTGGTCGCATTGTTAAGTGATATTTGTCTTCCATAAAGGATCAATAAATGAAGTTACATGCTTGATTAACTGACAGTTAGTACCATCTACGGTTACTACTATTAGTGAATTGTCGGTAAGAGTTTAGAATATGATAATTGTTGTTCGAGTTGCTTGAGGACAAGCAAGAGTTTATGTTGGGGGTGTTGATGTGTCGTAGAATTTCGGCACATTTGATACCAATTACATAGACTTTAGCTCATCTTTCAATGCATTTTTAGTTAGTTCTTATGAAGTTTTGGTGTTTTGCAGTGCATGAGGCTTGAGGATCCAAAAACAGTGAAAAGAAGTCAAAAAGTCACAAAAGGGCAGAAATGACGCAAGTATGCGGTCGCATAAAGCATATGCGGACCGCATACC